AAGAATCGATTATTAAAGACCTCAGCAAATCAAAAGAACACCTAGAGAAGAGCACACAGTGCTTCGAGAAATTATTTGATGATTTAAAAGACAATGACCAGTTCAAGGTTTCAATCGTCGACACATTCATCAAAACCTACAAGATGCTCAGCCAAGTCCACATTAAATCTGGACTAATCGAAGAAGCGCTCATGGTATGTGAACGTGGACGAGCACGTGCTTTGGGAGATCTCTTTTACCTTAAATATAACACAACTGAGAAAACACAAGCACAAGAACCGGAATTTGCAGATTTCAAAAGAATTTTTTCATATAAAGAAGCCTGCATTCTGTTTTACAACCTTCATCTTGACAAGGTAACTTATGATTGCTGGATCATATCAACCAAAAGTCCATCAACATTCTATTATGATGAAATGGAAAACATCAAAGCTTTGGCAACAATTGTGTCCAGTCTGTCTGAAGATGATAAAACAAACTTGAATACGGGATATTTTCAATATCTCGTTGACAACAGTTTTCGCCAGATGCGTCTTAGAGAAGAAATGAAATGCGATGAACAATCGATGAACTTACTAGACCATGAAAACGGGGAGCCTGCAGGCGCTACAAAGTCTTTAAATATCAGAGAAACTGCCCTCACAGTTTTTCGACAGGTTGACAGATGGTGCGCTTCCGCGGACGATGAAGATGATATCGAGCCTCTCGAAGTGCTTTCCCGTAGACTTCTCTCTCCAGTAMTTAACCAGCTGACCCACGACGAGGTGATCATCATCCCTGACGGTCCTCTGTTCATGGTGCCATTTGCTGCTCTTCAAGATCCAGTGACCGGCAAGTATTTGTCGGAGACTAAGCTCATTCGCTTGGCTCCTTCTCTGACGACGCTGAAAATTCTACAAGAATTCTCAGACGAAAATTATGCTAAGGTATGCTAATTTTATCTTTACACGTTTAAGCATTGAAAATGCACAATCATATAATCTACTTCATTAGTGATAGTTTTTCAAGAATCCCAACGAAATATAATCTATTTGTCGCTATTTCAAAACTTCTGTTATTCTAACGTGCGATCAGTATTCCTACTTTCAGATTTCTTTAGTTTCCGAGCAGTTGTTTACATGAGATAAGAATGATAATTCGGTGGATGTGAGATGTTCCTTCTTCCTCTCATGTACATGTCTGATATATAGTACTACCGATGTATATATGTGGATCCACATTTTGCACATGTGATTTCGTATACCATCCCGGAAACATTTCCTTGATTCAGCTACAAGACAGTTGTTGTTGATTTTGCATGCACATATCGTTCAACAGGACGTTTGAGGATTTGACTAGACTTTCTTTTGTCCACCGTAGACGCCTATTGACTATACATCTATTAGTGTTTTTATTGTGACGCCTGACCTCTTCTCTTTAATATTATAATGTTTATTTATCTTTATTTTATTTTACAAAATTTACCTCAAAGGCGGGGAGCTCCAAAATGATGTCTTCTTGAATTTCTTTTCTTTTTATTTGGCATCGCAATCGTGTAATTCCTTTCACAATTCCTAGACCAGAAAAAAAAATATAATAAAATATAATAATTGACGTTGATTAAAGCTTTGTTCATTCAAGTCAGGGGCGCTGATCATTGGAAACCCTACAGGGGATTTACCTGGTGCAGAGAAAGAAGCCGTCGAGATTGGTAACCTTCTCGGTGTTCAACCATTGATAAGAAAACAAGCAACAAAAGAAGTCATTTTGGAGAAACTAAAGCAAGACGTGTCCGTGATCCACTTTGCTTCACACGGCAGAGATAAAAATGGTCAGATCTTACTGGCTCCTTCTACTCCTCCGATGAATTCGTGTTCAGCGGATGACAAGGGCAACATCTTGACCATGAAGGAAGCACAGGAGAGCGGAATTCGTGCTCAACTGGTTGTGCTGAGCTGTTGTCACAGCGGTAAAGGTGACATCAGGTCTGAGGGAGTTGTTGGGATGGCTCGAGCCTTTCTTGCTGCAGGAGCTCGTGCTGTTGTAGCRTCATTGTGGGCCATTGACGACACAGCAACAAAGTTCTTTATGCTGAAATTCTATTCGCATCTCAAGAAAGGAGAAAGTGCAAGTTTGAGTCTTCAGCAGGCAATGAATGAGATGAGAGAAAAAGAGGAATACAAGGAACCAAAATACTGGGCGGCCTTCTTTCTAATTGGAGACGATGTWACCATCACAGTGTAATCGCACATCAAGGCTGGGTTGTTGGACGAACATTTTTGAACATTAATTAGTTTAGTTTTGTAGTTTTTACATGTACCCTGACTGATAAAGTGCGAATACTAAAAGTGAAATACTAACAGTGATCGCACTTAAACCGTGCAACTGTACAAATAGTGCTATTTAGTTGTATTTAGTAAATCGTGCATGTGGTACGAAAATTAAATTGAATTGATACAAATGAAGAATTCAATACCATCTTGCTTCCAGTCCACTTTTAGTACAAATTAGTACTACTTAGATTTAATTGTACAGTTGCACGGTTTATTTAAGTGCGATCTCTCTAGCATTTTGGGAAATGGTTAGTACTTTTCAATGGTTAGCGATTGTATATCATAAGTGACTCTCAAGTGATCATACTGCTGTCATGTAATGTATAGATTTATTTCAATTGTCCGTCAGTTTTCAATTTTGTGTTAAGTAACGTTAAAATTTTTTATGACTGGTTGATAGATGGAAATCATTTTTTTCCATGATATGTTTGATAGTATGGACACTGTGGACAAACTCTAAATCAAGACAATTAATACCGGCAGTGAACACTAGGCCAAATGTTATAAATTCAAAAACATGTCGTTAAACGTTTTAACTTTACATATGCTTACTTTCTGAGAAAATGCATTATATTATTTGAAATTGCTTGATGAAATGTGAACTGTTATATAACAAATGCGCAATTGTGGAACTTCAGTTAAGCCTGGTTGACAGGCCTCTCTTTCTTGATTAATATGTGCACACCTCTGAGTTCAAATGCTGAGCTGGTATATAAACTCTGAAAGTAGATTGTTAGCATTTTTAAAACAATTGGTATATAATAATCGATGTGATTGGCAAAAAAGTGTGTTTTGATGAGAGTAATTNAGTGCTATTAACTGTCGATGTAGCCCACTGCACTGTGACCAAAATGCATACCTAGAATTCTATTCAAGTTCCAACACAGTAAAAAAAACTCTCAAAAATATCTTGATTTGTCTCTACAAATGTATTTTCAGCAATGTACGTACACAGAAAAAAATAAATGACTCGGAACAGAACGATCATATTAGAAAGTATGCTTGATATTTCATGCCTTTTTCGCCTTCGTAGACTTTCATGTCGTTCTGTGTTGACGTCATGGTTTATTGAATCAACCAATCCGAATCACTTCTGTTGTTTTTGAGTTTGAGATTTCAAACTAAGCCATATTCTTCAATTTCTTCAGCTTAACTAAGAAATTTTTATTTTAGGGTATTCATTTGATGCAATTCATCTACTCTAATAGTCACTCTGATTCTGACTGAACGATAAGGTAAGAAATAACATCGATTCATCGTTTTCAATCACTTGATTACATTTGCATATATAATGTTGTACACTACGCAACTAGAGCTAGTAAGATCAATCATCATGATGGTAGTCTTTTATGCTGGAGAACTGTTTGTTATGAAATTAGCCAAATTTTTTGTCTTCCCAAGTACACAAGATGACTTTTCGCTTGTGACATTTCGACAACAAGCAAAATTTGATACTATATTGAAAATACTGCAAAAATATGGGGGAAAGCAACAATCTGTGTGAATTTGTTTTTTTTTGCAAAGACGTTTCACTGAAACCAATACCATATCAGTAGAACTCGATTGAGGGAGATTTAAAAACACAGAGAATCAACAAAATTACAGTCTTGAATGACTTCATAAATTGATAAAACTTGTGTTTGAAATAAGTTTGGTGATAATATATTTGAACCGGATAATTAAGGCGAGTTTGCCATTGGAAGTCTCATCGTTGGTTATAGTTTTACAGGCAAAAAACATTACTGAGTAGTAATTAACGTTTTTGATGTTTTGGCTCATTACTCAACCCCCCTCCCGATTAGTATTGCGCAGTTCTAACAATATTGTGTGGACTTGAATGATAGTATTTTTTAAATGATTTAATACAATCTTATCAAGACATTGATGATGACAGTCAAGATGGTCTCAATGGGGTAGTACGCATCACGACTCACGGCTAAAAATTTTGCTATTTCACGACTCACGACTAATTTTTTCGATTCACGGTTAACTAGATTACTTTCAGATATTTTTGAAGTGAAAACAACGTTTTCAACCCCACTCCCCTGGAGTAAACATTGTCATAACACAGACTGAGAAAATAACTCACGCTTGACTACAACCAATCATGCTGTTAACTATTAACTATGATTCAATCTTGAAGTTCTATTGTAAACAAGGCTAGTTGTTAGTTTTTGAACCAGAATTGCGGAGGACCCTCGTCGTAAAAAGTTCACTTTAACTCAATTGAATTTGAATTTTGATTTTCAGTTTCAAAACACAAACGTTTTATTCTTGATTAGTCAAAGTACTAGGCAAATCTGAAACATCTTCCTTCTTTTTCTGGTTGCCTTGAGACCGGCTTTAATTCCATATAATTTTCTTTCTAAAACATGTATACGCAGTGCTATTAACTGTCGATGTAGCCCACTGTGACCAAAATGCATACCTAGAATTCTATTCAAGTTCCAACACAGTAAAAAAAACTCTCAAAAATATCTTGATTTGTCTCTACAAATGTATTTTCTACAATGTACACAGAAAAAATAAATAACTCGGAAGAGAACGATCATATTAGAAAGTATGCTTGATATTTCATGCCTTCGTCGCCTTCGTAGACTTTCATGTCGTTCTGTGTTGACGTCATGGTTTATTGAATC